TTAAAATAAAGCGTTTTTCTAAACTATAGCTTCTTATTATATTTTAAATAACTAATCCTCTTCTCTTTTTATAATTTAAATCCTAAACCTACCGATTCTTAATCATCTAGAGCAAACTTATAATACGGTCTTTAACTAAGTTAATAACTTTATAAAAATTAATAAATTTAGTATTATAAAATAGAATAAGTATAAAGCTCGAGGCTAAATTATTTAATATACCTTTTAATATAATTAGTTTAGTAAGCTTAGGCTTATAAAAAGTATTAGTATTTAATAGCCTAAGTTTTATAAATACGGTTATAAATAATAAGTTATTACTAAGGTTTAAAAAGAGGATAAGTAATTATTACGTTATTATTTAGACCCCTAATATAATTAATATAATTATAGCCTTAGTTTTAAAGCCTTTATATACTTTTTATATTATAAGCTTATTAAAATAATTAAAGATATTATTAAAATTATAAGTTAATAAGTTAAGATTTAAGCTCGTAATATACGTACTATTATTTAAGAATAGTTCTTAAAATCCTTATTTACTTAGCGAGATATTTATAATATTAGGGCTTATATAAACTAAAATAAACTAGCTAAATACTTACTAACTATAGTATTAATTAAACTATTTAAAAAGTAAAATATCCTATACGTAATAAAATAAGTAAATAACGAGCTAAACTACCTTATTAACCTTATTTAAACCTTTTTTTATTATTTTTAAATATAAAAGCGATTTTTTAAAGTAATTAGTTTTAATAATAATTATAATACTAATCGCTTCAAGCTCCCTCTTTTTTAAATTACTAAATAGACCTATTTTAAATCTATTTATAACGCTATATTTAGCTTTATTAATAATAAGAAACTAGAGGGTTTCTAGTTTTTCTTAATAAGTATTTACTAACTTATAAACTAATACTTAATCCGTTATTTTATTATTATTATTATAAATTATAATAAGTAAATAAAGGCTATACTAAACGAGCAGTTCTTAAACGTTTAATAATAACTTTATATTTATTATATTAACTTTAATATTATATTTAAAACTAAATAAAAATAAGTTAAGGACCGTAATTATAATAATAATAATAATAAGTTTAATAATAAAGGATATTAACTATTAATATAAGTAATAGCTACGCTAAGTAATAAGGATAAGGCTTATATTAATACGCTTATTAATAAGAATAGCTTATATAAGGCTTATAGCGAGCTATAACTATTATAATTATTAATAAAAACATAGTAATTAATTATATAGGACTTTATTATTAAATTACTAAAATTTAGAGAACTATTTACTAAAATATAATATAATAATATCTTAGTTATAGTTAATTAACTTACTAAGTTCGCCCACTTTATTTTTTATAAAGAATTAAGTATTATAAAAAACTTAATATATATATTTACTAAGGTTAACGTACATAATAAGTAAGCTACTTAGATAAGTAAGCTGCCTACTTAACTATAACTATTTTATCTTCTATTTTTTACTTTATACAACGCTATAATAAAACTATAATATTATAAATTAAAGAGGCTTAGTTAAACTTAGTAATCTAAGTTATTAAGAAAACCTTAAAACTAAGTATTTAAATAATAGCTAAGATCTACTTAATCCCTCTTAGGACCTTAGGTACCTATTTAAAAAGTATACCCGTATAGTAAAATATTATATTAAACTTATAGAAATTAACTATGCTTAAAAAAGAGAAGCTAGTTAAGTATATTCTTAACCTAAATTCTTAATCGTTTCCTCCCCATATTAGTAATATAAAAAATATAACTAATTAATTACTTACTAACCGTAATGCGCCCCTAATTAAAAAGCGCTAAGCCTCGAACTTTATTAAGTAATAACTATAGCTCTAGATACGCTTTTTTTATAAATATAACTATAAAAGGGCCTAATATAAAGACCTAAATATAATAAACGCGTAGTTTTGCCTCGTAGCGAACATAATTATAAAATACGGTATCGTAAAGTTTAATATTTATAATTTTAATAAAACTAGCTTTATAATAAGCTAAATTATATTTAGAATAGTCGTTATGAGTATAAAAAGGCGTTTAAATATAAAAATAATATAATTTAATAATTATAAATAAGTTATAATTATTTAAGTTATTAGTTCGTTAGGCTATAGCGTTTTATTATATGTTATTATTACGGGGTAATATTACCTCTCTACTTAATATATAGAATCCGGTCTATTACGTAATTAAGTTATTATAATATCTAAAAATAGATAAATAATAAATAAAAAAGGCTTAAATTAAGTAAAATACTTTAAATAGTATATAAAACTACGTATAAAAAGTCGATATTACCTCTTCGTTATTAATAAATACGAAAATTACTACTCTACGGATTTTAAGTTATATTATAAAGAAAATAATATTATTACCCTTTATATACTAGCTTATTCGTCCTATTTACTATAGCCCTTAAATATTAAATATTTTAAGCCTTTAAAAACGATATATAAATAAGAAATTAAAAAAAAAATATAATAAGGTAATACTTATATTATAAAAGAGGACTTTTTCTTTATGTTTTATAAAGTATTTACGCAAGTAATTATAAAAAAGAATATTTAAAAAGGATTTAAAAAAGCTAGGCTTATATTTTTAAGTATAAAAAGTATACTTTCTAAGTTTAATTTAAAGTTATATACTCCGACGTTTCTAAGTTCCCTCTTAATAATACCCCTAACCTAGACTTCTTAAATACTAAATAACCTAATAAAAGTATTTTTATAGTTATAATTTATTAAAAATTAAATCGCCCGTTATTAAAATAGCTCTTTAATTTTAATTATTAAAGCTATTAAGTATTTATTAAAGGGGGCGCGAGGATTTATATATTAAATTACTTTATTAAAATTAAAAAGTTAGATCTTTTAAAAAGAGAATAACTTACTTAGTTAATATAAGAGGGCTAAGAAAATACGTCTTAAATAAAGAAGAAGTTTTATAATAACTAACGGGGAAAATCTTTAGTTATAAAAAAAAGTAATAACGTAGATCGAGGAAGAAATATATTAGAGTAGTAGTCGTTAACTAAGGACTAAAACGGGTTAATAATAATATAGTGTCTATAGGAATATTAGTTATAATACGTAAATATATTAAATTATTAAAAAAATATTTAAAAAAGAAGATATTAAATAGTTTTAATTAAATTATTTTTCTAAGTACTATTTATTAATTACGAATATAATATAGTCGTAGTTAAGTAAGTAGCTCGCTTATTTAAGTAGCTCGCTTATTATATACGTTATATTTTTAAACTACGGTTTATTAAAAAAAATTATTTTAAATAAAAATAAGCTATTTATTTTAAAGTTTTAAAAATCCCTAATTTCATAACTCGGTATAAATTATAAACTATTAATATTATTTTACTTCTAAATTAATAAATAAATAAAAAGGATTAACTAGATCCTCGCGATATACCTCCGTTATTATATAAATTATAACTAGGATAATTAAGTAGTACGTTTATTAATAACCTAGTTTATATATAATAATATAGTTAATAAGAATATAAAAGAATCCCCGTTTTATTTTAATTATAAATTCTAACTAACTATATATAAAGAAATATAATAAGGATTATAAGCTATAAAAACTATAGTAAATATAAATAAACTTAAAAAGATTTATAAATAAGCCTTATTAAACCTCGAGTTCGTATAATAGTATATAAAAAAAAAATATAAATAGATTAAAGATTAGAGGATTATTTTTAGAAAAGGGAAATAGTGCCTATTTTCTTTATTATAATATTAAAATAAAACGACTAAGTAATAAATTAGATTATAAAAAACTTAGACTTTTTAAAATTATTAAAAAAGTCTTATTAATTAATTACGAATTAAGATTACTAAATATAGTAGTTTTCTTTTCTAGCTTTATAAGTATAAAAGATCGACCTTAACGGGATTACGCTTTTAAAAGAAATTATATAATATAATATACTTTTTAATTATATAATATATATAATATATATTAAGTACGCGCTTAACGTAATATAGTAATTTCGATATAAAAACTACTATTTAATTTAAGATAAGTAAGCTACTTTTTATATAGTAGTACTAGTTAAAAAAGTTAATAATAAAGGTTAGCTATAATAGTTAGTTATAATAATTAGTTATAATAATTAGTTATAATAGTTAAAAGTAGCCTTTAACTATAGAGGTTTTAAACTTTAATAATAACGTAGAGGTTTTTAAAAAAAGGGCTAAATAGGCTAATATTTATTACTTAGAGCTCGTAAAGATTCTTTTTATCCTTATTGTTTTTAATATTACCTAAAGTTACTTTTTATTTAAATTAAATAAATTTACTAAATAAATTTACTAAATAAATTTATTAAATAAATTTATTAATATATAAACTACTATTTTAAAAATACTTATTAATAAGTTTACCCCTCTCGGGCTAGGCGCCCTCAGCTAGCTCGATATTATAATTATTATAACTAACGTAAGTATATTTAAAAAGTAATAAAGTACTTTTTAATAATATAGAATTTAGCTAAGTAATATTATAAGCGCTATAAATAGCTAGGTTAATATAAATATTAAGATTTAATATATTAATATTAGCTTAGTTATAATAATTATAATAAACGGGCTAAAAATATATAAAATTAAGGTAATAAGTTAGTATTTTAAATAGTTTTTATAAAACCCCCTAAGTAATAATAATATTTATATAACAAAATAGATTATATTAAACTTAATTACTTATATAGGCTAGTATTAAGAGGTTTTATACGTATTAAAATAAGTAAAACTTGCCCTATAAGTAGTTAGAACTTAAGAGGACTGCGGTAAAAAGTTAAGAGCTATTAATAAAAGCGAGATAATAATTAAGTTAGTTAACTATTTTAATTAGTAATTAGGTATAGAGCGTATTATACCTAGTTTTCTTTAATACGTAATATATAGTACGGCCCTAGCGAATTGCTCTATTAGGGGGTAAGATTACTAAATATAATACGATATTATCCCGTCTTTTACGTCTTATTACTCGAGCCTATATTAAGACGTTTATATATAGAAGATTATATTATTATTAAACTAAATTAATTAGAATATAAAGTTAAATAAATTATTAATTTTAAAATAAAAAATAATAAAAAAGAATACTTTATTAAATAAAAAAACTACGGATATAAAAAGAATTTATAAGAACTTATTATAAACCTTTAGAACTCTTAATCACTTTTTAAGGAGTATTAAAGTTAAAATTAAACTTAGAACTCTTAGTTATTATAGTATTTTAATTAATAATCTTAAAAGTATTATTAGCTTATATTATATAAATTATTAAGGAAATATTTTTAGAATCCTTAAGGAACTCTTTAAATATAATCTAACTTTTTTTAAATATTATTCGCTTTTAAGAATAAAGACGCTCTAACTTAAATAATAATTTATTTAACTTAGCTTAAGCTTATTAATAAGTCTTAACTTTTTTCTTATAATTCTATAACTCTTTTTTAAAATTATAACTTTTCTATTTCTTTTTTATAATTAAAATAGTTAAACTTTATTACTAACTAACTAATTATACTTAATTAGCTAGAACTTAATAAATAAAAACGTAATACTTATAAGTATAAATAGTATTAATAGAAGTATCGTATAAAATATTTAAATAGTAATATATTTTATAAACCTTAGAATTAAAAAGAATTAGATAATAAACCCCCTGCGAGCGATAATTTAAATAATATATTATTTTTATACCCTCGTTAGAAAATAAATAATATTTATTTTTTATATTCTACCTTTACTAGCTACTCGGGTAATTCTCAATATTAGTTATATAGTATTAATACATAGTATTAATAAATACTCCTACTATTTTAATAAATTATTTTCTTTTAGATTTTTTACTTTTTTAACTTTCCCTCTTATAAAGTTTATAACTATAGATTATTAATAATAATATTAAATACCCGACGCTACTACTTTATAAGCCGGCTACTTAGCTAAGTTAGCTACCTTTTTAAATATAATAGCTTATAATAATAATATCGGAGATGCCCTCGTTATTATCGTTAAGAATAATACCGACCTTATAATATTTACCCTAATATTTTTAACTTTAACTCGTATATATATATATTTATTACCTCGTTTCTTTTATTAAAATTAAAAACGCTTCTTTTATTATTACTATTACTATTGCTATTTAACTATCTATTTTAAGTATATTTTATTAAAATACTAAGATACTATTAATAACTCGTTAACCCTTAGGGTTTCTTTAATAACTAAAAGTTTAATCCTATAAGTATTATACTAAATAACCCCGAGCTATAAAGAGACTACTTTAATAAATACTATATTTATAATATTAATTTATAAAAAACGGATAAATATATTATAATAAGTATCGCTCTTATTGGCGCCCTTTTAATATAATAAAGTAATATAAATAAGCTTAAACTTAATAATATAATTAGGAGCTTAAAAAGAGCGTAAGTAAGCGTATTAAATAAGAATATTAAAGAGAGGTTATTATTAAATAAGATAAAAAGAGAAAGTAAGGGGTAGTATTCGGTTATTAAAAGGGCGATTAATATATTATAATAAGATCGTTAATATTTTAAGTTTAGTTAGTATTAATAATTAGTAACGGCTACGGCCGGCTATAGTTAGTTATAAAGTTTTATTAAAATACGTAATAAAAACTCGATATTAACCCTAATAAACTAGCTTATTTATAAAAACGAAAATAGCCCTTAATAAGGCGGACCGGACCCTAAAGGGAAATAAATAATATATAATAATTTATAATAAGACGTAGCTATTAGAGATTTTAATTTTTTAATTCTATTTAATATTATATTAATATATTTTAAAGAAATATTTAATAATTCCCTAATTTAAAAATAGATAACTTATTTATAAGCCTAGAGGACTAGACTTTTAAAAAGAGAAGCTAATATTACGACTTAATATATATAATAAAGCTAGGGCCCCGCCCTACGGGACTTATAATAGTTATTATATTATATATATAAAAATATAAACTTAAAATAACTCTTCTTAGGATAAAAGAATTATAAATAAATTATATAACTATAATTATATAATAAAATAAGAAACGGATATTTATAAATAAATAAAATAAATAATTATAAATAAATAAGACGGGGGACTATTTAATAAATAGTTAAATAATAATAAATAAGAATATTATAAAGGATATATTTAAGAATAAGACTTATATTTAATATAAACTTAAGCTAGGCTTAAAAATAGACTTTTTATAACTTTTTTAATAATTAACTTAATATTAGATTTTATAATTACTTTTAGCTATTTTTATTAAGAACTCTTTTTAATAAGATTATAATTAATTATTAAAGCCTTATTTATTTTATAACTTATAGATATAGTTTTAAAAAAGCTATTTATAATTACGATGTTATTTATTTAGTATTCGTAGCCTTAGCCTTTATTAATATACTTATTATAACTAGCTAGCTGTAATAAATAGCTATAGTATTAAGCTAGCTAAGGGCGCCTAGCTCGAGAGGGGTAAACTTATTAATAAGTATCTTTAGTTTACTAATTACTAATAAAATAGAGTAGGTTCTTATTAAAATAGTATTTTAACTAGCTAACTTCTTAACTAGTTATTTAACTAACTATCTAAGTAGTAGTTTATATATTAATAAGTTTATTTAGTAAATTTATTTAGTTTAAATAAAGAGTAGCTTTAGGTAATATTAGAAGCGATAAGGATAAAAAAAATCTTTATAAGCTCTAAGTAATAAATATTAGCTTATTTAGCCCTTTTTTTTAAAAACTTTTATATTATTATTAAAGTTTAGAACCTCTATAGTTAAGGGCTATTTTTAACTATTATAGCTAATTATTATAGCTAATTATTACGGCCGACTTTTATTATTAACCTTTCTAATTAGCGCTATTACGTAAGTATATTACTTAGCTTATTATTCTAGTACGTATAGCTTTAACGAGGTAATGCGGGATATTCTTATAAAAGAATATAAAAAGTAAATATTCATATAGAAGCAAGAATATATAAATATAGGGGAAATAAGCGTATATAAAAGAGGTTTTTGTAGTAAAGAGAGTAATATAGTTAAATTATTATATAAGAAGTTGCTTACTTAACAAAAGGTCTAGGTAGGTAAATACACGCCTATATATAGGCATAAAAACCTCCTACTAGAATATTCTATTGCTTATTAATTATGATATAATTAATAAGCGTATACGTAAGTGAATGCGTAATCGTAGTACGTAATTCCGTCTCGAGAGAATTCCAGCTTATTTAGTTACTTTCTAGTACTTTCCATTGCTCACGTAAGCTTATATAAGTAGTATTGCTTACATAATCAATACCTATAATAATCTATAGAAATTATAGATTAATATGGTATATAGTTTGCTTACGTAATATTAATAATAAGGCGAATAATAAGGTAAATAAAGTTACCTTCGTAACAATTATTAATAAATAGTCAAAGAGGGTAGCTTACCTATCCTAAATTAAATAGCGGTTTTTATATCGAAATTATTATATTACGTTAAGTGCGTACTTAGGATATATTATATATATTATATAATTAAAAAGTATACTATATTATATAATTTACTTTAAAAGCGTAGTCCCGTTAAGGTCGATTTTTTATACTTATAAAGCTAAAAAAAAACTACTATATAACTAAACCTAAGGCCCGCCCTATAAGCTTATAATAACTATAATATATTATATATATAAAAATATAAAAATATAAAATAACTTTTCCTCCCGACAGAGCAATCTACTAGGGCCGTATTATATATTACGTATTAGGGAAAACTAGGTATAATACGCTCTATATCTAACCACTAACTAAAATAGCTCCTAACGTTCCAGTATCTATTTATAAAATAAGCTTTATTTATTTTAATATATATAAAACCTCTTAGTACTAGCCTGCGTAAGTAACTAAGTCTAATATAATTTATTCTTTTATATAAGTATTATTATTACTTAGGAGGTTTTATAAGAGCTATTTAAAGCGCTAGCTTATTATTTTAATTTTATATACCTCTAGCCCGTTTATTATAACTATTATATCTAAGCTAGTGTTAATATATTAAATCTTAATATTTATACTAGCCTAACTATTTATAGTACTTATAATATTACTTAGCTAAATTCCGTATTATTAAAAAGTATTTTATTACTTTTTAAGCGTATTTACGTTAATTATAATAGCTATAGCGTCGAGCTAGTTAAAGAGGGCGCCTAGCCCGAGAGGGGTAAACTTATTAATAGGTATTTTTAGCTATTTAAATAGTAATTTATATATTAATAGGTTTATTTAATAGATTTATTTAGTAAATTTATTTAGTAGATTTATTTAGTTTAAATAGAGAGTAGCTTTAGGTAATATTAGAAATAATAAGGATAAAAAGAATTTTTACGAGCTCTAAAAAGTAATAAATATTAGCCTATTTAGCGCTTTTTTTAAAAACCTTTATATTGCTATTAAAGTTTAGAACCTCTATAGTTAAAAAAGGCCGCTTTTAACTATTATAGCTAATTATTACGGCTAATTATTATAGCTAATTATTATAGCTAACCTCTATTATCGACTTTTTTAACTAATACTACTACGTAAAGGGTAGCTTACTTATCCCGAATTAAATAGCGGTTTTCGTATTAAAATTATTATATTACGTTAAGCGCGTACTTAGGATATATTATATATATTATATAATTAAAAAGTATATTATATTATATAATTTCTTTTAAAAGCGTAATCCTATTAACGTCGATTTTTTATATTTATAAAGCTAGAAAAAAAAACTATTATATAAAGTAGTTTTTATAAAATAAAATCCCACCGACGGAGTAATTTACCGGGGCCGTACCGTATATTACGTATTAAGGAAAACTAAGTATATTACGCTCTATACTTAACTATTAATTAAAATAGCTCCTAACTTTCCCCTATTTTTAGCTATTTAGAGGGCAAGTTATACCTATTTTAATATATATAAAACCTCTTAGTACTAGCCTACGTAAGTAGCTAGATTTTATATTATATACT